GCAGCATCGTCGATCGACTTGTCGGTACGAGTAGAGAGCGCTGGAGAGGCGGAGCTGGCAACAGCCAGCGACAAAAGAGAGGCGGCGATGAAAGAAACCTTCATTGTGTGGTTTGGGAGAGGCTGCTCTGCTCAGAAGTTGAAGTGAGTGATTGAGATGCAGAAATAGAAGCTGCTGGTGCTGCTCGATACTGATGGGAGGAGACGCCGGCTTTTATACCCCAGTCTCGGCCTCATGAACCATCTCTATACAAAAGATGCCCATCACCGATTCAAAGAGGCGTTTCCAGTACCCTACTTTCTTCCGCGCTTTTTTCTTTCTTTTGTTGGGCTTGCAGGAGGTACACGCAGCACCAGCGTGTTCGTGACAGCTGAAATAACACCAAGTTCGGTCGGGCCGCCCAGCGGCGTCGATGTGGCGCAAGCCTCGACCGTTGCTGGATTCACCCTCGCCTGCGCCAGAGTCCGCAAGGCGACCGACTTGTGCTGCTGCGTTCGTTCTGCTCGTTCTGCTCGTTCTGCAGTTCTGGGCAATGGCTGCACCGTTGAGCGAGGCGAGCATGCTGTCCCCATCATGCATCGCGGTACTCAGCCGCTCGGGCAACACAGCAGCCACACCCCCTCCCTGCCATATCCGTGCGCGGGATCGTCAGATCAGAGACGCGACCCATCTAGAGAACTTGACCTGCTTTGTCGAATATCCGCGTTAACCAAGGCCCGCACAAGGTATTAGCTCCACCCACGATAGCGGCCCTTGGTTCTCCAGCGAGAATCGCTGACCAACTGTGATGCATAACAACCAGCAAGCTAGCGTATGCGGCATTTACGGCTATACTCGGCCCCATGGCATTTATGTGATAAGAGATGCAGCCCCGTATGCCACAGTAGATCGTATTGATGGCCATATAGACTTCCGCGCTCGGTAGATCCGTAAGCAATTATAGTCGTCCAAATCAACGCCTAAAAATAAAGACATACCAAAGTTAGATAGTATCTTCTGATCGATACCCGCATGTTAAGTGCCTTCCATATAATCTCGAGCGTTCCAAGCTGCTTTGGTTCCATCCCCTCAGCCTCCATATGCAAGATGCCAAAAACAAAAAAAGAAAAATGACTGACGTTTTCTAGCGCATCAAGAGATAGCCGTGTGACATCTTATTCCTGAAATTCTCACTAATGCGCATCTAACGCCGCTAATACAGCTCCTGCCGTACGTCAGAAATCCACGACGATGCCTAGTTCCTAACCAGGGTCGGCTGTCATAGTTGTTCCACGCTGTGATTTCAGTGGGCCATACGGCAGGCCATTCCTACCGCCGCAACATCAGAGTTGATCTTAACCCATGGTGGTCATGGAGGATCAGAGCTGCTGGTGTCATTTGCTCGCGTATTACCTCCTTGAGATGTTTCTCAAACTATTCAATGGAGCAGGCGTAGAAGGCTCTGTAGAAGGTGATTGGCCGCTGTTGATAAGTTGGATGCTTCCATTTTCGTGCGTGTGGTGAAACCCTTCACCTCGTATCAAAAGAATACCAATATATATGATTGTGATGTAGAAAAAGAAAAAAGAAAAAAGAAAAAAAAAGCAACGATCGCCACCTGTAATATCTTGGCGGTAGTTGCAAAACATTTATCGCGCATCAGTAGGACCTGAGGCCTTCCTGCGCAACTCTCTAGCTCGAGAACGGGAGGCTGTAAACTGCCCAGTCCTGCTGCTGGCCTAAAATCCCTCGCACTTTACTAGATACTAGAAATCCTAGACGGCCAGTTCAGGTCGAACACTTAAGGTTCCAAAGCACCTATTTGAATCCCTTCCCTCTTTTACCACTACGAGGAAATGGAACATTGGAGGCTGTGAGCAACCACAACTAATGCACATATCATACGAGACGACGGGCGCACGTACGCTTGCCCCACCGAGCTTCGTGGTTACATGTGACCCATTTGTGCACTTTAACGTGTCAGCTGGACGAACAGATACTATCGCGTATTCCAAAGGCCCCTGGAAAAGAAATTAGGGAAGACCTTGTCCACGCATTCCACACAGGTTTGGAGGCCTCCTGACGAGATAATTCCTGCAGCCACCGGCAGGGGGTGTTCCTCTTCGGACGGACTTGTAAGAACAGCCTCAGCGGGAAAGTCCCTAGCAACTCGCGGCAGCTGATCGAATCGCCAGTGCATCCCAAGCGTTCCATTAGTTCCAAGCTAAAATTACTTTCCTATTGAATCGGGTGTCATTGGAATTGAGGTCGGCAGCGAACACCAAGAATCGCCAGAGCTTACGCCCCCAACTACATAGTTCCTAAGGTCCGGGAAGACAGGGACTACTATGGCTATGGTACTGGAAACCACATCTATTTTGGATGGTACCTGGCCGACAGAAACATGCTTCCTCCTACCGCAAAGCTGATCTGGGCGTTCGGATTCGAGTTCAGGGCGGCTTTAGATGGTAGGCCTGTCGCGGAGAACCTAGACCTAGACCAGTGACCGGGTACCCAATGGGGTCCCGTACTGCACTGAATATCATGGCTGCAATCCAATGGTCCGATATGAAAACATCAGACACAGTCCCGCCGAGGCAGAAGTATAAGTGTTAAGCGCGTCAATCATTGACACAGGGAAGTATCAGCAGGGCACTCAGCTTCAATTATGAGAGTTTTATCTCTCTTTGAATCTCTTAAGCAGCTTCCCAAATCATAATGAGGACCTCATTCATTGCCACTGTTCTTTCCACAATAGCTGCTACCGGTTCCGCCGCTTGGATTAATGCCGGGCTCAACGTTCGTTCTGGATCGATGATGCTGCGGGAAGTTGCAATGCGGATCAGGTCATATCCTGCTGCAGCCCTACCGATCAGATAGCAACGTCGGTCTGCTTGCCGGAATTCTTGGCAGCTCTATTCTTGCCAATGGGTACTCTGGTATTAGTGCCGTAAACTGTAAGTCGCTGTCCTCCAAGTGGTGTCATAACGCCTCAAACCTGCTGGGACTGATTCTTATTGCGACGAACAGTGGGTCTTCTCAGTAGCTCAGATGCCAATAACGTCTGTGGAAACACCAACACAGTCAAGTGCTGCAATGGCAATAGTGAAACTATACGAAAGAAAGCCTTGCTCCCGATTAGAAGCGCAGTCTACTAACAATCTTCGTTCAAGGGCTTACTCAACACCGATCTGTCTTGCACGATATTCTTTCTTCAGTCAAATATTTGTATCTTCTATCTCCATGCAGCTATGCGCTTCCCCTTTCTTGAAGATATCGATGATTTGATGGATCTAAGGCGTATATAGAGTAGGGTAGACAATTCGACCTGATTAATAACGCCTTTTCTGGAGTTTCTGGGGCTTCTCAAGAATCTAATCGTGTCTACGGTCTTTATGGTTTGTTTATCGCTAGAGAAATACCTTTACTACTCAATTTTCGTAAATGAGCTAGAATGGATCTAAGGTAGAAGAGTTGTTCGAGAAATTATAGCTATAATTCTCTTACATATTTCTAACCTTATACCACTTTACCCCAACAATATAGAATAATAGTAGAATGGCTTGCACCAAACTTTTTTTTTTTAAAAAAAAAAAGAGCATCAGCTACAGCAAGCAGTCTGCCGTCAAGAGACCTTAAGGCAGGCCCTGGTAACACCGACTACACTGTCTGGTGCACTGTAAAGACGGACCTGATGAGGATTCGGCGTTTTATACGCCTACAGAAAGTGATCGTAAGTGCGACTAGTTGCTATATGGTAGGCCAGCTACGCTCGGGTAAAACTGATTTGCCTTGGGCGTTTGAAATCTCGACACAGAAGCTCGTCCCCACCAACCCTCTCGGGCTTTCGCAAGTCCCAGCTGACAGCCATTCCACGCGCCTGCCCATGCACTTAAAAGTCAGAGCTTCCTCATTCCCATGTGTTTGTCAGAAATATAATTCTTATTACGCTTAATTTCGGGAGGCCTATTGTGCCATCAATCAAACGTAGCGAGCATTATCTCTCGCGATTGAGATTTATGGAAGTAAAACCACCATGAACTTTCAACGACCTAAAATATCTGAGAGCGACAAACCAAAGGTGCATGTGTTGAACAGTGTGCGTAAATTGAATTAGACACTGCTTAAGAGTGTAACACAGCAGTAAAACTACCTCTTTATATACAGTAATTGCTTGCAGTAATATGAAGAATTACACATGAGTGGCGTGATTGTGGTGAGATAAACAAGGGTTCTGCCTTGGTGTTGAAGCCAAAACAATAGAACACAGCAAATGCAATCGGCAATACACATGAGGTCTGACATTATACGACAAATACGGGCAGATCCTCTCCTGGTGTCGGAATCACACCTGATGCGGCCCTAGTCGGCGACATATATTAGCCATAGTTAGCCATGAAGTCTTCCTGCTTCTCGTCTCGGTCTTTCTGAGTATCTTCCTATTTGCTCTAAGCAGACTCATCACCTTAACAGTAAGGCTCTCGTTCCCCCAGCCGACCATACGCTAACAGATTCTAGCCAGGCCATTCCTCAAATTACAATGAGTTCCATCTCTGCCCGACGTCGGCTAGTGCGAAAGCGCATACACATTGACGTGCTTCTCAATTCAGTTGCTATTTCGAAACGTCTACATTTTCTGTTCGGTCAAAGGCGCCATGAACACGAGCGTTCTGTTATTCGAACTCGACACCGTCGATGACTTCCGCCTTGCTGCTATCGATGTCATAGGTGAGCTACGGCTAAAGGCCCCGCTGTGGCTCGAGACTACCTCGGCTTGGAAAAGGAAACCGCCGAAGCGTTCATTAACCGCCCTGCCTTCTTGGACGAGAGAGCCATGAGCCGCTTCTATCGTACTGGAGACCTTGTGCGCTACGAGGTCTCCAGCAGCATCAGATTTGACGGCCTAAATACGAGTCCAACGCCTGGAGCTTTCAGAAGTGATTATTGCGCCTCTGACATCCTCAACCTTAGCATAGACGTCGCCGCTGAGGTTTTCACCTCTGCCCAGAAGGACCCGCTGGTCGCGTTTGTTGAAGGCTCCAAACCGTCGGCAAAATCAGAACTGCAATCACGACTTCCCACTAGACTTCAAGAATACATGGCCCCTTCCCACATATGCCTCCTCCAACAACTACCACGCTTCACCGCATTGAAAAAGTTGAACAGGAACGAACTACGCGTGCTCGGCGCCGCCCTGGCGCTCAACGCTGCCATTTATCTGCCTGCCAAAGAGCAGGCTCACGGGCACACGGAGGTGCTGCTGCAACGCCTGTGGAGTGAAGCTTTCGGCATTACGCCGCTGCAGATTGGTGCACACGACGAATTCTTTTGTCTTGGTGGGGATTCGTTGAAAGCCATGAAGCTGGCTGGCGCAGCTCGCAGGCGAGGCTACACGCCCAGCGTCGAGATCATCATGAACAAGCCGACATTGTACAACATGGCCTTGGGAATGAAGGTTGCCCACGTAAACGAGCATGTCCAGATCCTAGCCTTCTCGCCGTCAATCACGGCGGCACGCTGGCCAGCTTCCGTAGCCAGCTGGTCAAGGAGACGGGCATTGTGGCTGACCTCATCGGGGATGCGTACCCCTACACTTCCTTGCAGGAACGTCTCTTAACGGCATCTCTAAGGCAACCTTGTGCCTACATTTCCCATTGGATCGTCGAAATCGGTCTGCAAGATGATTGTGAGCGCCTAAAACAAGCTTGACAGACAGTACTTAGAGCAAATCCCATTCTGCGAAGGCGAACTGTGCAGCTGTTGGGGTTAGGCACGATATAGGTCGCAGTCGACGCCGAGGTGGAAAATGCCTGGCAATCTGTCAATGACGTGGATAACTATTGATGCGTGGCCGCAATATTTTGTTGCAGTTGGGCGACGCGCTAATCAAATTGGGCATTGGGGCAAGTATAAACTTCGTCTTTACTACATAATATGCTGTACACGATAGCATCTCTCTGCTTTTAGTTGTAGGAGCCATAAGACAGTCTGCCGTGGAGGTAGTATCCTGCAATTTTCGCTTTACAATTGGTTTATAAAGTAGATACCGAGCCTAGATACTAAGCTTCTAGATAATTCTATATGTCGTACCTAGAATGCTGCTTGGGTCGCCTTGTTCTCTAGCTTCTGTGCCGGCTCGTACTTTAAACGCCAATCGCATTATCGAACGCCACATCACCGTTGAAAAAAAAAATACGGATCTAGCTTTGAAATCGCTACCTTTCTTTAGACTCCTAGGGCATCCTACTTGCCCGTCATAGTGAAGCGCGAGATGTCGTCTTTAGCATCACATGATCAGATTGCATATTTCCTCTCCCTTACATCGACAGGATAACTAGCTCTACTATTAGTACAGCACCCTTCGTGTGCAGCTGGGCCACGTTACACGATTAACCATCGAGCTGTTACGGCAGGTGCGAGAAACATCTACGCAGCTAATCAAGCATCAGCATTTTGATCTCCGAGCTGTCCGCCGCGTGAGCGCCGACGCTAATACGGCATGGAAGTTTCGCACTGAATCATACTACGCGCCTCCGACGCTAGGAATACCATCGGCGTAAAGACCGCTACAATATCCTGCTTGTACGTTAAGCCAACGACGACATCGCAAATTTACAAGTCTACCAGCTAGTTACTTTTTTCTCCTTCAGCGATACGTGCACTAATAAGGAGACTATCTACGATTCGTAGATGGTTACTCGCTTTTAAATGCAGACTATGTTGGGACGAATTAATAGCATCTTTTATCAGCTGGCTAATGTAGGTTTAGTTACTAATCTTAAAGATTTTAACCTCTTTAGCGATGATTACCGAACTTTCCTGCGTGAGTGGGCGGCTGGCTATACTCCAGTGATCGAGAACTGTCTGTACAATCCTTTCGGAGAGCAGGTTGCCAGGGTTCCCGAGAGCCCCACTCTTTACGCAATTACCACTACCATAAGCTATGCGAAAGTAGACATATACGCGAATTGCATCGCCCACTAGCAGCGTGTCCGGCTCCGGGAATACATTAAAGCAGGAAACCTCATCGCATTTGCGCATAAATGATGCAGATTTATTACATTTCATCCTGAAGGACGCAGCTTCATCCACATAGGCACAGTGAAAATATGGGTCATTCAATATCTCGAGACGCAGTGCAACACATGGCGATGCGTGGTAGTTTGACTATTAACAAACGCAGCTGCTGCACGTCTGATCCGATTCGTTCTTCTCTGCCCTAACCCCACCCTGGATCGTGTGATCACGGCCAGACTGTGTTACCAGTGCCGCACAGCTTAGCCAGGACAAATCTAGAATTTTCTGTCTGATATCGTTGCGCATGCAGAATAGCTATCACTTCCGAACATTTTGCCGACTCCTTGATTACTATTTATATTATAACCTCTAGTAACTTTACCTGACGCCAGGTAATCCTAGTAATCAATCAATAAAGGGGTATTCTCATACACATCGACAGGCGGCTGCATATAGTTTTTTTTCTTCCAGCGGACAGCATGCTTAAATACTCGGTCGATATCTTCTGCGATTTCTTAATTTGGTTTGTTTTGAGTAATAATTAACCTCCGAGCGTTTACCATTCACATTTTCGAGACATCATCGAATCAATAATTCTTCCCGATCGTGATCTCTCTTCGCGAGATTATAAATAACGGAATACCTTCTGAATCACTTGGCGCCAGGAATCCATATGTTTGTTGTCAGCCGTGCATCTGCTGACTCTCGCAAGCGAGCGCCTAACAATCAATCTTTATACACCTGCAACCCCGAAATAAGAGTGCCTCCGGGATTTGTTGTATCATTAGGTTAGTCTAGCTAGAGTAGGTGATGATCTGGTATAGAAATGCATGGTTTTTCTCTGATTCTGCCTTTTTATAGTCTTAGTCTTTAGGTGCGCGCCTTTTTCTTACGTAATTGTGGAGTCCTCATGCCTGTAAGGTCGCTCCAAGAAGAGCATGCAATAAAATGGGAGTTCTTTTCCCCCATAAATTGATCAATGCATATGCAGAATGTGCGACTCATCCGTTGACCGCTGGTCCGTATAATGTTGCTATTGTTAGTGTCCGAATATTGTGGGGTCATTAACAAGGGAACACTGATTATATAATAAAAGAAATACTTATAACTTGAGCTGAGCCTCTGATCTTACGGCATTGAACGACATAGTTTTGGTAATTATCCTTCGCTAGATTGTCAGCCCTTTGATCGAACATAGGTACCTTGGTTCCGTATCACAACAGCAGCCCCCCCTCGCGCTCCGACACACACACGGCAGCCAAGATCCAATAACGAAAATGCATGGCATATACCAAGCCGCTTAGCGCACATGGTAGCACAAACCAATCTACACTTTGCTGACTCCCCAGTAGAAGCATGTGGCAAACGAAAGATGACGCGGATCTACACAGGACCCTTTCACTGCGTCATAGCATACCCGAGGCGATTTCATGTACTAAAGCCATAATTGCAGCAAACAGTCACTCATTTGTCCAAATTTTGTTTCCTCAGAATCTCACTTGAACCATTGACTATTATAGTCAGAGGTCGTCATTTTGTCAACAATAATGTCTTGTAGCAGCGACGAAGACAGGCTCGATCCACCTCTTGACAAAGAAGCATCCCAGCAACTTACTACAGAGTCCACGCAATCATCGAATTCGAAGTCGAAGCAAAGGCCATTAGTCGTCTCTGAATATGACGGTTCCAACGAAGCTCGCAGTAATTATAGCCATGACGTGTGCGTGTACAATCTATTGCATCTCCTCTGCATTATTGATAGCTTACAGCTTTTCTCAGAGATGGCGCTACGAATTTTCCGACTGGAAAACCTCGACGAGTTCAGCTTGCAGAGAAATATCGCCGCCCAGAAATGAAGGATAGATGGTGGAGCGTGTCACTCAGTTCCTGGTTTGAAATCACGAGCACCACTCGATTAAAAACACTGGAGCATATCGGTCGTATAATGGAAACAGCGGAAGGTGTGGATGCTTTATTTCCGTGCACTTACTGTGCGTCAAGGGGATATAAGGACTGCCGGGTGTACAGCGAGGAGGCATGCGGGAAGGGAAACACCCGTGTGGGCTGCGCTCGTTGTATTAGGGCAAAATCAAACACGAGATGTTCCCTTACAATGGCCCATGAAGCGGAATTCGCGGAGCTTAAGGGCCGGGTGGAAATTTTGGAGGGTAGACTATCTCACCTCCAAAGCGATACTTCGTCGCAGTGAGGTTTTGGGGAAATTTGAGAATAATATCGGGGCTGGAGCGCAATCTTCGAGGTGCAGAGGCTGTTTCACGCCGTGAATTTAATATAGAGGGTAAACAGAACGGCAAATGTCTGACTTCATATTGGTTAGTTGAAGGGTCTCGTTCTTCATCGCCAACAGACCAGAACAGGGCGCTTGCATTAGTGTTGTCGGATGCGCCCCTTACCCTTGCCGTAGCCCTAAAATGCCGGATACCTGTCTCCGCACCGCTTTCGTGCAGCCACAGCAGCTAAAATCCTTTCACGCTTGTACTACCACTAACAGCGGGGCACAGCCCTGTAAGTGGTGTCACCAGGCCCTGCTGAATGCAACTGCGGGTAAGTCTCTGAGTTTCGAATGTTGGTAATGAGAGAAGCTGTAGTTGTTTTCTATCCAGTCACCAGCGGCTGTGCACTACTCTGTTTTTCACAACTGCTTGCTACTCGATCTTGGTGTGCGTACTTCTTATTTCTGTCCTCGGGCTGTAATGAAGCCGATATGCTGTTAGTTATACTTCCAGGTTTAACGCAGGGATTGTACACCGCAACTCCGGTTTTGCCGATTATCTCGTGACGCAAAAGAGCTCGTCTCACTCTGCAGTGCCACATACATCCTGGTCAACTTCATTAATCGCCGATGAGGCTCGCTTAGCTACTAATCCCTAACGCCGTCTGACTCACTTCGCTTTTCAGTCGCACGCAGCTGATTAGAAACTCGCATGACTTTTACTATACCATCATCTTAGCAATACTTGGTCTAATAAATATCGGCATCCTCACATATTCTAATACTTCTCTCAGTTCCTACTGGTTTTAATTAGGTATATTTACAATACTGCACTACTTGTTACTGAAGATACAATCTGAGCCACAGAAGTTTGTATTTTAGCCAAGTCTCTAACTTCCCTTATTAGACCCATCGATAAGAAATTAGAAGAGATCAACTCCAACCTGATCCTGGGGATCACCAAACACTTACCTTGCCCTTGCTGTCGGCTCCAGCGCTTCTGGTATCAACCTCAAGTTGTGCATACGCTATTTTGTTGTGGAGTGGCGGAGAGTTTACTGGCATTCTTCTTGCAAGAGCGCTTGCGTAAAATGTATACATCTATAGCCTCGCACTTAAGTTATTTTCTGTCGGCTCTATCTGCGCAAATATATAATTTGGATTCTGCGTTGATTGCATTGAGCCAAAGTCACGTTCCTGATTTGACCATAATCGTTCGTTTTCTAAAAGTTCTTACTAGATCGAAGGCCACCAAACAATATCTAAACATGTTTCACCTCTTTGAGAAGAGGGGAGAAAAGCATATCTATATCCGAGTGTTTGGGCGGAACAGTAAATTCATTCATTCCGTGCTAAAGCTTGCCGAAAAGCACACCAATTGTCACGCAACTATCTTGATAAAAGAAACGAACCCCATTTATTCGACGCTTCTAACGCTCAATTAGGTCTCTGCGTTTGT